ACCAGGGCCACCAGCTGGGGGGAGGGGCCGCAGGCTATTGGCCAGCGGGCCCCACACCAATTGGGGTGGGGGGACTGATCTGGGGTGGAGCTGGGTGGGGGGAGGAGCTGCAGGAGATTGGCCAGTTGCCCCTGCCCCTATTGGGGTTTGGGGGGGCAGGCGATCAGGGGCGGGGCCAGCCAGGGAGAGGGGCTGTGGGCCCCTCAGGGGCAGGGCAGGCCAGGAGGCGGGGATGCAGGGGGGCAGGGGGTTGGCTGGCTGCGGCTGCCGTGCCCTTGATCGGGGTGGGAGAGACCAAGCAGGGTGGCGATGGATGGGGAGAGGGGCCATGGGAGGTTGGCCAGCTGGCCCCACCCCCCGATCAGGGGATTCGTTGGCCACAGTAGGTGTCATAGCGACTGGTTGTTCCAGTCGTTACAGTGTTCCGGTCGCCGGCTTTTTATATATATAGATATAGAAACCACATTTAATAGGTATATAAAAAAAGACCAAAAAAGCCTTCTCAAAACCACAATACTAAAATTAATAACTAAATGGAAGCTCCTTTGATACTATTATAAACAGCCTAACCTCACACTATGACAGTCCCCTCTTCCCATTAATTTACATGTGTAGTTGGTTTTTACAAGTATAAAATACCTTCACTGGAATCTGGACTGGAGTTGTTCAGCTTGGCAATTTCCTCATCTCCTTTAAGGTCCTCTTCCTTTTCCTCATTCATCTCAATGTCATGTATCTTTATTTGGTCCTTTTCCTTGTGTTTTTTAGACTTCTTTTTGGACTTCTTGTGAGACATTGAATGGTTTTCTTCCATAGGCTTTGGACACTTTAGTAGAACTGAATCAGAGGGTAAGGTTTCCAGAGAAGTCCTAGAGGTATATTTATCTTGCTGGTCCTCACAGTTACTACTGTTTTGACTAAAACTGTCAACAGGTAGGTCTTGAGTCCCCCGGCCTTCTGGAGTGCTAGGGGAATTGGAGTTAGAATCTACAGTCTGAGGAGGGTTGGAGGCGGGCAGGTGGTTTGAAGGCAGTGGTGGAGCGGTGGGGATGGCAGCAGCTGCAGGGGGCAGCAGGAGGCCTGCAGATTTTTCACTGGTGGAATTCAAATGACCATTTAATGTTGGCGGCACTCTATTTGTTAGGTGAGATATTCGAGCTTTTTTATTCATTAAAGGATCAATGAACTCTGACTCTAAAAGCCGTTTCTGGAGGGAGGAACAGAAAAAAAATATGAGCCAGTTTGCACTAAAATTCAATATATGCATCCCTGGTTACCATAAGAATAATTGAGTTATTTTATTCATACTTAAGTTTATCACTGGTGTTGAGTTAAACCTTTCTCCAAACTTAAGCAAGAACAAACAAACAAGCCACAAAAACACAAGTGACATAAATTCTTGTCTAATGTAAAGAAGTAGAATCTGGCAAATACAGGGGTGGGAAAAAGCAGGTTTACTGTGCCACGGTGACATTCTTGAGTTAATAAAGCTATTGTTAATAATCATAACCTGCATGTCTTTTTCCATACGAACTATAAACCTACTTTTGCCCACCCCTGTATATGTTTGTTGGAGTTCTTATCTTTTTGATCATACAGCCCGACCTGAAGTTCTTTCAGAGACTATTGCAATTTATGTGAATTTTACCACTCAGGAGAGTACTAAACAGAAGTAGCCTCCTGACCTATTTATAATAAATAAGAGGAGGACGCAGTTTGTACCATTTCACTCTGTCAGAACAATAAGCCTACACTTAATCTCTAATGTTAGATGCTCCAGTTATGAATATTTTGACTGTCATTTATTATTTTACCTGTCTGAAATGGGAACAGCCAGCACCTTCAGAGTAATTTCTCCAAGTATCTCTGAAATACTATTCGTTGTTAAAATATTACTCCCTTTTCCCCTTCACTGGATTAGAAAATAAGTCTTAATAACTGGTCCATAAAAATGATATGGAATTACTGTTTCAAACACTTAAAAAATCATGCTAAGATAAGCCCAATCCAGCAACATTAATATTTAAATTAAAAAGAAAATTCGGATAATTAAAAAGTATAAAGCATACATCCAATGAAATACTTTGGCTTAAACTGCAGCTTGAGATAAAATAAGTTAATCATCCCATTAATTTAATCTGTTTTCAATTTAGCACCATTGATATGGCACCCAGTATATAATCAGGTCAGAAATATAACCAGCTCCATGGTAAGTGGCATTACAATTGAGGCTTCTATAGATAATGTACATGCAAGGTCAGAAATGCTTTTATTTTGTTCCTCCTCTGTTCCTCACAACAGGCTGCTAATATTTTCTTTACCCAGAGCATGCTTGCGGCTTGTCACACATCTGTCCTGCCTCTCTAATCCTTGGAAGGGGAGTCCAGAGAGAGGAGCATTCTGTCAGTAGTATGGGATAAAGAGGTCTGTCCCACTGTCAGTCCCAAAGACCTTTGAAACTGAGAGAGTTCAAGGCTGGCCGGGCCTTCTGAGAACCAAGCAGGCTTGAACTCTAATACTCTCCAGGATCTCCGTACCTTTTTCCAAGACAAACTGAATTGCTTAGGGGAAACTAAGCCAGATTAAATTTCTAATTGCCGCGTTCTGATTGGGATCTAATTGAAATTATTTTCAGAAA